CACTACATTACACTACACTACACTCCACTACAAATATAACTACCACTACGCAACTACACTCCACTACACTACACTACATTACACTACACTACATTACACTACACTACACTACATTCCACTACACTCCACTACACTACACTTCACTACACTACACTACATTACACTGAATGACGCTGCACCACAGATAGACAGGTAGACAGATAGACAGATAGATAGATAGATAGACAGATAGACAGGTAGACAGCTAGACAGATAGACAGATAGACAGATAGACAGATAGGCAGATAGGCAGATAGACAGATAGACAGATAGACAGACAGACAGACAGATAGATAGATAGATTGGGTAATTAGATGAAAGAGAGAGAGAGAGAGATAGATAGATCGAGAGATAGATAGATAGATAGATACATAGAAAAGAGATAGGTAGGTAGGTAGATAGTCAGAGAAAGAGATAGAAAGAGTGAGAGAGATCAAGCACCTTTCAGTCCATCAGTGGCTTCGCTCTGCCATCCCTGATTCACAACAACCAACCTCTCCTATAGGTTTCCTATGTTTGAAACTTCCGCCACCGCCTTGTGCGGTACTACTGGTACTCCAAATAACCCCCTGAGATGTTGGATCTTGGTGGACCCTTCTCGTGGCCTAGTAGTGGCTGTCCATCTTGGACTCAGTAGTGCTTATGTCAGGCGAGTTCCATTTATGTCAGGATAGAAGACCATTTGAAACATCCCATCCAATATGAAACATCCCATTTTCATGGTCTTAAATATGAGGTTTTATCCCCCTACATCCAGCATGGTTTCTGAGGGCCCTGTTTAAGATTTGGGAGAAGGGCCTTTCATTCACGACCAGCACCTTAGCATAGATTGTTTGCCATACAATGCTTTATACAGAGACATATGACGAAATATGCTTATAAATATACATAGCTATATATATATATATGTATCCAGCGTTATATATATATATATAATTATATATATACTGTATGTATCTCTTGTCGGGCTATGTTTCAAACAACTGGGACAGTCCGGAGTGAGTTTCCGAACATGTATCCGCTCCAAAAGCCGCCCCAAAAGCGTGCGTACCCCAGATTCTCATAATTTTCCCTATTTAAGTGGCCATATTTTTTTGGCAAATTCACCATTTCAGACCCATATAGATAGAAATGATCATTTTCCCTCGGTTTCCCTAGGGTTTCCCAAGGTCCAGCAACAAACTCATCATGAAAGCCCCATGCCAATCCGGTCAACCAAAGAAATCGCTCCTCCCATCGGGTGCGGGAAATTCCTTCGATGAAGCTTCCGGAACCTGAGGATGAGGACAACTTTGATATGCTCAACAGGGGCTATCTCAACAAATCAGCCGATAAAGTTGCGCATGTAATGTATATATATATTATGAATGGTGATTATATCATATATTCATGGTATATTAACGGGATTGAATGGGATATATAACCGATAACGTATGATAGATATTGGGATATAACAGTTCTAATGGGATATGAATAAAATATGAATCGAATATGAACGGTGTTTATAGTGGAATTATAATGGGATACTTGATTAAACTGACCAATTTTATATCATAGTTGGGTTTGTCTGAAAATGTGGTATACCATCATATACCCCTGCCTGGCAATGTTTACAGGGAAACTAATCAAAAACCTTCAAATTTGGATGGTTCCGCATAAATGTTCAAACAAACCCACATGAATATGGAAGATGATCTTTCTTCTGTACCGCTCTGGGATATGTCAGCCCTTTTTTTCCAGAGAATTAGATTTTTCACCTATCCAGAGGATTGGATAGATCTAATCTGCAGGAGGTTTCTAGATTTTTCAAATCTATCGTTGCTAGATGTTCAAGGTTTCCCCAGCATCTGGCCATAGGATGTGCATCATCTAACTATTAGATTTACAACCGCTGAGAACTGGATGTGTATGTATATATATATATTTACACACACACACACACCACTACTCTTGACCATCAATTGTGCTGAAAATCCATCGAATAGCCGGGAGTTCACTTACAGATATCAACAAATCATGTTTACTATACTATACAATATGTATGTACGTATATATGCCTTGAATATACATATTACTATTCTTTACTATTTACATTTGTTGTAAAGCTGGATCAGGATAACCATAAAATGATGTGGGAATAATTCAAATCTTAACCCCAGGTGTTCACTTGATTTGGGCTTCAAAAAGACAAACATTGCCATTGCCATTCTTAGACACCCTGCAACAAAGAATATGATTAGTGTGTAACATGATGTGAATACATATATATATATATTATAATATTATATATATATATAATAATAAGATATATATATATAGTATATATATAATATATATATAATATATATATATACAGTAAT